TAATGCAGCCAAACTAATTACTTGTATGTACAGCTTCGTTCTTAAAGTATACACGCTCGTATAAAAGAATATATCCCTTATCAGGCATTTGGGAGAAATATGAACGCAAACGTAAACAAAGTCGCAAGACGCTTCTATACTATGAGAGGCAAGTGGTCAGCTTATTTTTTCATGTGGCAGAGATTCATTTACTAAATCGCTTCTATGAAACTCGTTAAACTAAAAATCTTGTTGTGAAAGTTGACGCAGTCTTTACCAAGATACTTATTCAATTTTAATACTGTATAAAGAAAAGTCGCGTTTTTAAAATCTATAATAACACACTTTTGCCAACAAAAGTTAAGATTTTTATTGGTATTTTTTTTTCTTGCAAATATAATGTTTTTTGAAGTTCCTGAAACTCAATAAGCAAGAAGTTTGTAATTAAAAAATTAATCAATGGCCTTTTTTATCTTTATTTATTTATCGTTTCATACTGTTGCACATTGTAAAGTAATAAAGTAATCTAAAACTTTGTAGGTAGACCTAAATTTATTGCATGTTACCGTTGAACTCTTAGGATTAGTTCAATAATAAATAAAAACTGTTAGGATTCTAGAAAACAATATCCAATGCATGTTTAATATTGTATAAGCGCTAACAAAATATACTTATTTCATCCAGACAAAGTGACCCATAACTAATATTAATTAAATTAATGGATGCAATGCTAGATTATTGTACTCGTCAAAGATAAATTGATAAGTATATTTTACCTTATTAGCTTTGCACGTGTTCTGATGTTATTGTGCATCTAACTGACCGAGGCAAAGTGATCATACCGTTAACTTTAATAAATATAGTCTTGGCGCGGCGCAAGGAGGGTTTCCATAGCTCCGTTAACTTCCACGGCACTAATAAGGCTTGTTGAACGTATTTCGACACCTTGAGCCTGAATTTAAAGGGTAGAATGTTGAAAAATTCGTGGAAGACAGAAAAAACAATGTAAGTTGACAAACTAAAAAAAAAAACTATTTAGTGTTTTAAAAAATGTTATCAGGATCTAAGTATTATTTTAAGGCTATGAGTAATTATATTTTATAGTAAAACGTATATATCTAGCGTAAAAAAATTTGCAAAGTTGTTACAACACTCATTTTTCTATGACTGTCCATTTACTTTTCAAAGGCAAAAATTCGCTTACTAGAGCGGTAATCCACAACCTCACTATGGTTTATTTTATGCGAATTGATCTACTTGATTCTGAATCACGAGGCCCATAACTGAAAAGTAGGCTGACGGAAAATTGTAAACGAATCAAGTTAAAAAAAGTTAGAATTCAACTTTTCATAAAAAAATTTTTTCTTTCTTAGTATTATTTTATTATCTCACTGTAGTTTATTTTACGTGTTGATATACATACTAAAAAATTTCTAGGTGGACAGCTGAAAAATTGTNAGATAAAAAAGCTACGAATTTTTTACTAGTTTTTACAATTTTGCGGTATGAAATGAAAAATTGGTTCTCGATCTCTCGGGTAGCTCGTCGTCCACTGTTGTCATTCGTATTTTTACACTCGTTAAATTGACATCGCTCAAGTACTCCGAGATTTCGACGCAGTAATTAATCAAAGTTAGGCTCGATGCAAGATTCATCGCGATGTCATCCAAAATTGACACTGAAAGAAAAAAAAAAGAAAAATTATAGAGAAATTCCAGCAATAATGCACAGTAAATTGGATGCAAGTTGGCAAAAAAAAAAATATTATTTTTAATAGTAAACGTTATCGTTTGAACAGTTAAAATTATAGTTCGAAAAGTAAAAATGATGGTTAGAATCGTAAAAATTTCTATTAAAAACCAAAAAAATCATATTGTACAACTTTGCCAAATCTAAATTAGCAAAGCATAAAATTCAATAAAATATTTTTTTAAATTTGGCCTTTACGATAGATTTTGTTTATGTAAGAGTTTCATAATTTATTCTTGTGTAGCGTAAATTTTTTTTTAAATGGTGTCTAATATGTACGCAAAGTCCCAACAACATCCAGTTTTAGCGTTACAAAATGTCTCTAAAACCTTACGTGAAATTTTTTACGCACGTCAAAATAATTTAATGAAAAACGGTACATTTATATTCAATGAAACTCTTCTCTATTTTAGATATTAATAGATTTTCCTACGATACTATCAAGTTAAAAGTGCTTTTTATTTGTTTCTGCGGTGCGGGACTCCCCATGTTATGACCCCACATTCGTAGGTTTGAATGCAAATGTGTAAAAAAATTCCGTCCAATTTTAATCTCATCATCTATAGGTGTACTTCCAACTTTTAAGTAAAATATTTTAATTTATAACCCAACCATTTCATAGCATCTTCTCTTAGAGGAACCATCGTAAAGCCTATAAAAATGTCTCGAAGAACGACTTCAAAACACTTAATTCTAAAAACTAAATGGGGAATCATTCTTGTACGTTTTCACAACAGCTGGTTACTTATGTTATACATTAAAAAATTGAGCAAAATTATAAAAGTATCGTTTTCATAACATAAAAACGAGACCAACATGCCTCTGTGTAAATCTATGCTTTTTAAACTTGATTTATACATGCATTTACAACATCTACTTGATTTATAAACTTATTGTTTGGTCGTTTATAATTGTTGGTTGATTTTATTTGTTCATTGTGCTTATCAACCCGTGATACGACTGATCACAAACGAGTCCACGTAAGATTTTTTTTCCATCGAACTGAATCAAACTATGTTATTGCGTTCTGAGTAGTTATAACATAAATTTCCACCCGCGTGTGTAATTTCATGCTAACCAAATTTCAGTGTGTTATGTTTGGACTAGTGAGTCCAAAGGAAGTGAGCGGAAACCGGAAATGCGTCCAAGTTTCTCATTGGTCGCGCGATACTTACCTAAAAAAGAGAAAATCTACTGTGAGTAAGACGGGGTCTGGCTAGAGAAAAAAACACTTTTATAACAATTAATAAACTCAATTGTTAAATAGAACTATAAATAAAAATAATATACGAAAGAGAAGCGTGAAGTGTGCCAACTTTTTTTATTTATTTATTTAATTTAAAAATCCTGCATGCTTAGATATTCTTGTTTTTAAAAAAAAAACTTGTTTTTTTTTTATTAAACTTTCTATAATTCAACTAATTTTCTATTTTTCAAGACTTGATGTACTTTTTCAATTATTTCATGTCATGAGAAATTATAAAAAATATTTAACTACATAAAAGTTTACCCATTTGTGGAGACTTTTTGTCTGTATAACTGAACGTAGTTTCTTACGTATTAAGGTTACGTAATATTACCTAATATATTTTTAATTCTAATTTTTCGAAACAAACAGTGAGTTCAAAAAGCGAAATTCAAAGGATGACTCCTATTTTTCCATAAACAATAAAATTAATTGGAATAAAGTGCTACAAACGAAATTAAAATGATATTATTTACATTTAATATACAATTTGGATTTTAATTTTATAAAAATTTGAAGAGGTTCGGGAGTTATTTGGAAAATTTTCCCCCTTGTTGATTTCTCCTGGGAGATGTGTCCTCCTAAATAATAAGAAATTATTATTTTTTTCTTTTTTCTGCCACAATTTTTGAAATTTTAAATCATTTTCACACATTATCTACATACAGATCAGACTTTTTTTTATTACATAAGTGATCATCAACCAAATTTTTTATTGGGATTTATAAGATCAAATCAACAGTTATAGAGAAAAAAAGGGAAAATCCTTGAGCCAACTATCCCCTACAAGTTTTTTTTTTTTTTTAAATACAAAATTCATAGTAACAACGGAGTCAGGAGCAAAGCGCTCATGCAGTAGAAAAGAAATAAAAAGAACAGGCAGGGTATAGGCCGCAACGCCGGGAGAAAGCTTTTAAGGAAAAGAGAGCGAAATGGAAGCAAAGATAGAGCGACAGAAGACTGCATTCCTCTTTTTATGCCCTTTGTGCGGCGAATCGGCAGTTACGGCGCCGCTGCTATGGCTCGTCCGCTATTTATACGTGTAGGGGTTTCAATAAATTTTCCTGCATCCGAAGCATCTCTGCTCCTCGTGTGTATGTTTGTGTACGTCAGAGTTAATGTATACGTGTGTAAGTATACGTCCCGTTCATTGGCCCGGGCCAAAGCTTGTCTGTCTAGTCTGGTCTGGCACATAAAATCGTGGGAATATTTTTACTAATACCCAACGCCCTGTATTGAGACCCCTGGATATGTCTACATTTTGGAAATCTGTTTTTTTTCTATGCTCTCTCTTTCTTTTCTTACCCTTTTCATATTTTTTTAATGTCATTAAAAATTTCTGTATATTTTGAGAGAATATAGTAATAAGGGTAAATGACCCAATTACTGCGGATTAAAAATTTCGACTGTGCTATTTATTTATTCTCTACGTTTTTCGATGTATAAATTAAAGTGGTTTCATTTCATCGTCATCTGCAGCATCTTCTGCAATTAAAACGAAGAACGTTTGTCTGTCATGCAACCTTTTTTTTTTTTTTTTTTTAATGATTGTTAGTGTTGATATATCACTTGCTTGTATTACTGCGGACGGTTGTAAAATCAGCACCAGTTACCACGAAGTTTTGTAGGTTGGATTTGTTGAAAATCATTTAGTTAAACAGTTATGTATTTCATGATGTAAAGTATGATTCTAGATTTAACATTATTAATGTCCAAACGTGTTACAATCTCTTGGCACACGAATTTATCAGTCTGGTGCCTGCGCAGTAGTAATTGGGTCATATGATCCACACATAATTACCCTTATCACTGTAAACTTGTGACATTCGATTGTTCATACTTTTTGCGCGCTGGGGTGTGATTAATATTTTGTAAACGATAAAAACCACTGCATGTACATGTGTGAACAGTGAAAATTCTTTGAACGATGTATGCCACCAGTTCGTAGCGTCCTCCCAGTTGTATGATGGATTTTTCGTTCGTATACAAAGTAATACAACAAAGTTTCATTTTTGTGATTTTGCAGGTACTACCAAGTGCGTCCAGTCTTTAGTGAGAAGATTTCGCTTCAAGCTCTTCCGAACACACCCACAATACTCTTAACTAGCGGAGAAGACTGGATTTCGTAGGCGATGCATAAGTGGCTTCCAAAGTACTTCATCAGACTGAAGTATTGACGATTTAAAAGTATTGCAGCTACGATGTACCAGCGAGCGCAGGTGTAGCCGAGACAACGAGTGGACAAAATAAGACAGAAAGCATATAATTGATGTAGCGTGGCGCATCGGAGGAGTAGAGGATAGGAAGACGACAGCTAGCAAAGGCAGAGAGAGAGAGGAAAAAAAGGGCGCAGAGTAGCTCGGTCCTCGGGAGCGACAGCTGTCAAGATGGGGAACTGCTTTAGCTGCCAGACGGACGGTGAGAAGGAGAAGCCCGATCGGATATGCAGCTCGAACATCGAAGCAGTGACTTCGCAGGCGAGCCCGGTGCCCACGCCGACCCCCGACCCTATAAGGCCGATGCCGCAGATCCCGGACACGGACGCGCCCGCAGCCAAGATCTTCATCGCCTTGTACGAGTACGACGCGAGGACGGATGAAGACCTCAGCTTCCGGAAGGGCGAGCACCTCGAGATACTCAACGACACCCAGGGCGACTGGTGGCTCGCCCGGAGCAAGCGCACCCGACAGGAGGGCTACATTCCTAGCAACTACGTCGCCAAGCTCAAGTCCATCGAGGCCGAGCCGTGAGTCAAAAACTTTTGCCCTTTTTTTTTTCGTTCCCACCGTTTTTTTATTACCATTTGCAAATCGGTATTACGGTAAAACAATTTTCAGGGGTAACAACGCGTTGTGTTACGAAATAATCAAAAAAATTTAGAAAAAACACGTTGGAAAATAAGAAAAAATGTTGTTGATCATTGTAGGTACTATCATTGATAATGACAAATAATAGTGTGCATAACATTTTATTTTCAAGTGTTGCAAAATCTATAAAACAGATAGTCGCCCCGAGTCCGTACACAAGTATATTTGACCACCACGAGGTATTTTTCTTTCAGCGCGATATTACCCTACATTGACAACCTACATTTAACGAGTGGATAGGTTTCATGCACTTGAATATTCTCACGTGGCGTACGAGTTGTTTGGTTTCCCTAGCTGCTACACTGTGCTTTGGAAAATTGCACTTTGTGTGAAATAGGGAATTGTTTCACAAAAAAAACTTGCTCCACGAAAGTTTTGCTGGAACGCGGTGCGATCTGGCGGTATATTGGTCATCGCGGTTGATTACATAAACTAATCTCCTGGATCAATTGTCTCTAATTAAATTGAAGGTGTAAGGGCTTATACTGAAAAAGATTTACGCTATCAGTGAAATCTTTGCATTTCGATTTGGAATGACACGTGGAAGATTAAAATTTAATTACCTCGTTACTTTAATTTGACTGATATCTATGTTAAAAGTGATTTACTCATTTTTTTCTTGTTGACCTACGTACCCATTAATGGTGCGAGTAAAAAGACAACTGGTTGTGAGTTAACAAAAAAACACTTTTCATTAAGGTCCCAATTTAGTTGCCGTGAAAAAAATTATTTTACAGTTAATAATTTTTACCGTAGTTTATAGTTTATCATTGGTAAACTTAAACTAGTCAGTTTAAAAACACTGAAATTGTATATGCAGGAAGAAATGTTTTAAAATACAATCGAAAAAGTAGAGAAAATTTTTAGGTATACATAAATATGCTTGAAATATGTCAAACCACATAAAAAATATTTAAAAATAGCACCACTGATCATTTTATAACCTTGTGTAGTCCCAGTAGTTATATCCCAATAGTCGATCATTTGGCTGATTTTTCCAATGTAAATTTTCAAAACATAGATAAATCGGGTAGTTGTTCAGACACTAAGCAATTACTTTTTCAATATAAGTTAAGGTTTATACTCATTTGAAAATATAACGAAGGCCTATAAAAGAAAAAAGTGACCGACTATTGGGATATTCCGTCTGCTTAAGTGAGCGAGTACTGGGACATACACCTTACTAAAGACATCAACAAAAATATACTAAATTCTTAAACATTTCTAACACATAAATTTTCAGCAACAACTTAAAAAGTCAAATTTCTTATACCTGGTCATATGTTGAAGTAATAAAAGTCAATTTTTAACGCTTATACCTCAGAAACTGCATCGATAATTAATCGCTCTGAAATTCCAATATTTAGATTATTTAGTCCGAAACTCAATAAAATCTGATACGAATCGAACTGGTTACCAAATTTATATTTGGTTACGCGTGTATGTAAAATAATTACCTTCAAATTCCATAGTCTTATTTTGATGAAATATTTTTGCTTTTTCATAGCAGCTCGAAAAACTTTTCGATTTTAATTGTTTGAATTAAATTTTTTTTTTTTTTTCTTCGTTTCGCAGAAGTGGCTTTTTTATTTTTGGCAGACCATAAAAAAGTATTCCTTTGGTTTGAGATGCCAAAAAGGGGCTAAATTAGCGTTACGGGCTCATATCTCATTCGAAAATTTGTAGTTTTGACGACGCCTGGAAACAAAACATGGAGTTTTTAATTTTTTTACGATCAAGGATGTCAAAGTTACTAATGCAAACAACATTTACACGCATTTCAGACAACCAAACAAAAATTGTATCCAAGAGTTGGATACTGTTAAAGTTGTGGGACGGAAATCGTATGAATTTTAATGGAAAATACTTTCACAAGCGCACGCAATTGAATATGAGCATTCCAATTAGGGCGTTTTGTATTCTACAAAGATCAAGGATGATGCAGGAATTTTTTTCGAATTTTCTATTCTAATAAGCCAGTTATAGAGGCTCGCGAGTTTGGAGATTCCATCTCCCAAAAATAAAAACTAAGAGCCCGTAACGCTAAGGAATGTTACATATCTTTTTGCAGCATTCGGTTATCGACCCGGAAGGTGGCGGGTTGAAATTTAGCTGTTTCTTATACAATATAAGTGCAGAAGCAAAGCTCAATTTGCGTTTGGTGCGTTACAATCTCGATTTTTCGATGATTTTATAAAAACCTGTAACGCTCCTTTCTTTGCTAAGAGCACGTAACGCTATCCCGTAATGATAAAAAACGCACTGTATTTTCACTGAATGTTAACTTAGCGGCTGGAATAGTGTAGCATACAATAGTAGGGATTTAGTACATCGTAGAAGTGTAAGGATACAGTTTAATTTTCACTGTAGGTAGTATAATCATGATCTTTAGATGACTTTTCCAACCCGTAACGTACTATATTTGAAAAATACAATAAAAAAAGTCTTAAAAAATTTTCTCGTGCAGATCCAGCAAAGCCCAAAAAATTTTAGCTTATTTTGGTGACAGGCAGTGCAAAAAAATAGCTGAATTCAACTTTTTAAGAAAAATCCTCAGTTAGAAACACACACTTACTACTTACTAAATCCTTATTATACTGACTGATGTGATGCTGTCTTTGTCGAGAAGTAAAAAAAAAATATCAATGAATATTACTCTGGTAACTCGAATAGATAAACAATTTTTAATTAATTATAGAAAAATGTAAAACAAAACAAAAGACATTTTTTTATAAGCAAAATACATTCGGCAATAAAATTATTTGTAAATAATAAAGTACGTAACAACAGCCACATGTAATATAAATTCAAACGTATTTTAATAAAGTGTTTGGAGCAGTTATTCAACATTTATGTTTTTCATGAAACATATTGTAATATAATATTATTAGTGGGATTATTTAATTGTTTTCGTATTTCACATAAAAAGAAAATTAGTGTCTCATCAACCATCTACGAACTCTATACCATATCGCACCGTAAAATTCTACTATGCCCTATTTTTTCCGTTTAAAAGTTTTTTTTTTCAAGACTACCTGCGTAGTTGACAACAAAATGATTAGATTATTTCTCAAGTGCTTAGTGATATGATGTATTGTTTAAAACAATAGTTATAATTGCCACATCTGAATTTCCATCGAAAACGTGCTTATACAGTGAAATCGAGGCAATATTTTTATAACCCTGAAAGTTTCCATTAAAGACAGCCCACAACTACTGTCGAGGTACATCGAATGACGCCCGCATAGCAAGGCTGTCACGTCGGAGGTAGCGAAAACATGCGAGAGCCGACGGATCGACCTCATCCGTGCGCTAGAATGCGCTTCTTCCTCATTAAGGATGCGCGCTATCGCATCGGCTTTACAGTTATCCCGCGCGCACGCGTACATACACGGAGTTCGTATCGCCGACAGCCAAGAAGTCTAGATCGAACCGAACGGGTGACAGATCCGTTTGACGTTGCAAAACACACGCATGTACATACAGACTGTTCGCTATTTTTCAACCGTTAGTTATTCCCGTCGCGTAATTGTTCGGCTGCCTGGGAGGCTTCGATAAGCATCTCTTCACGGAAAAATGCACAGAAATAACCGAAGCGATGAACGAGGATGCTTTTTTTCTTTCTTTTCACCTCAGGAAAATGGGCGTCAGTCTGCTATGTTGTTGCTAAGTAGTCGTCGCGACCTTGCTTTCACTCGCTCGCTTGCAGCTATGTGTTATATGCCTGCCGCTCTAGACTTACCGTCATTTACTAATATACTCGGTGGCTTTCAACAAGTTGGAAGAATAATATACAGCAAGGATTAAAGAATCACATAGGTGCACTGAGAGAAAAAAATAATCGAAATCATAGAGAAATTCCAGCAGTAATTACTATTCCGCTCAGTAAATCGGATGCAAGCTGGCAAAAAAGAAAGAAATTATTATTTTTAATGGTAAAGATTATTTATTGTTTTAAAAGAAAAAAGTATAGTTTACATGGTGTAAAAATTTTTACTGTTCTAATCATAATTTTAACTGTTAAAACAATGATTTTTACTCTTAAAAGTTATATAATTTCTCCTTTTTTGCCATCTTGCATTCGATTTTGGGATCAAGAATGGTAAATTTTTCTAAATTGTTCCAATTTTAATTATTCTTTTTCTTTCAGTGTGGTGTGTATTTTTACGGCAAAATTAGAAGTGATGAGAAGTCTCCACATATTGTTACTCCTTTCACCATTTCTCTAATCATATAATATATGTGGGTATCACTGGGATGTAGCCAGTTTAGCTGGGAAGTGAAATTGATTTTTAATCAACCACTCTTTCGTTAGTGGAATCAATTGATCTCAAAAACTTTTTTAACGGTTGCAAGTAGTGGAACCAAATTTTTTCTCAGTATGTAATTTTACTTTGTTAAGGTTGCCACAATTGGCCTTTAATTTGAGTACTTTGCTATTTAAAGGTTTTGGCATTCGCTTAGAAAATTTTTTTTTTTTAATTTCACTCGTTAAATAGCACCTGAAAAATGAAAAGATTCTGCATTTTTTCGTGATTAATTAATCTTTCGTTCAACTATAAACAGTTTTGTTGACAGATGTTTCGCTAGTTCTTTGAGTCTGTTAGAAAATTCATTGTTTGATCAACATTTTTTATGTACGACCCTTTTACACATTCTACTTCAAAACTTCCTATTGGAAATCTCTTATCATTTGAGTTAGTATGAGATTCGTGTTCTACTTTATAATTCCCCTTAAGCGTGATCCATCATTTTACTTGATTTCAAAATTAAAAGGGTTGTAAAAAATTGACGATTCGCTATTTTGTTGTAGTTAACATATCAGATTGAAAATGATGTTATTTATCTGATTTTGTTCTACTTGTAAAATCGTCTGCGGTTACAGACACAAGACGATTTACCATTTAAATAGCATAGAATTGGAATTTTTTGACATTGTTTAATTTTTTTGATCATTTTAAAAAACTTATTAAAATTTTTAAACTATTAAATTTTGTTCTATATTGCTTGAATATGATATACAATTTTATTTTACTTCAAAATCCATATGTAAAAAAATATTAGATATTTTGGTTTTTTTTCCTTGGTAGTTTTTGGAAACCCAAACCAATTTTTTTTACACGTTTCTTTTGATTAAAAAAAAAAACTGTGTATCGTGTCTAAGTAATACATAGTAAAGTCTGAAATATTTAAGTCTCTTGCTGTTTAAATAGTAAATTATCTTGTGCCTGGTGGTATGTGTTACCCCTAAAATTTTTGGATTTTTGGGGTATGGATTTTATTTATGTGACATATAACAAAGAGTTTTCAAAAGGTACATGATTAAAGAATTAAAATCAGGAAATAACAGACACTCTAATATATGTGGATTTTATAGTTTGTAACACGGACTAAAAGAGCGAGGTTCTCGTATACAAGTGTCCTCGTAGAGAGCAGTTAAGTTTGTAGAGATTCTTAATAAAGGGATTTATTATACATGCATATGTTGTTTTCTTCGATTACAGATGGTACTTCAGAAAAATAAAGCGAATCGAAGCCGAGAAAAAACTGCTCCTCCCGGAAAATGATCATGGAGCATTCTTGATTCGAGACTCGGAGAGCCGACACAACGACTATTCGCTTTCAGGTACGAATTTACAAATTAAATTAAGTGGGGGTTATTCTACCGTTAGATGGCGATAGCGTGCCCATGTAAGATTTTCTCATTTTTACAGAACATCTCTATATTGAATGCATATACAATTATAATTCTGTGGAAATCTTACATGGTCACACTATCGCCATCTAACGGTAGAATAACCCTCATTGATCTATTAAACTAATGGGTGTTACTTTTGGGTTTAATTTTTTAATATGTAAAGGCTCAATGCTATGGCCAGGCTTGGAGTACAGACATCCGGTTTTTCAAGCCATTTTATTAATACAGTTAACAATTAACCATAACAACATGATCATTATTCTATACCATCTGAAATTTATCCTACAGAAATAGATATAACTTTTTATTATAGCATGTACTCATAAACATCGTGTGGGCATGTGTAGGACCAAAAAAGGAATCCTGCTAGATATTTTGTACCGTTTCAAAATAAAAAAAAGTTTCACTCAAAAAGATTTGTTTTGAATGATGAAATAACTATCTGTCTTGTCCAGAAAATACATTGTTTTCACAGAAAAACTTTTGGTATGACTGGAATTTCTTGCTGCCTTGAAAAACAAAAAAAAATTAAAACCAAGGGTACTCTCTCATGTTAGCAACTTAAACTATTGTAACTTATAGCAAGTGTAAAATTTTTTAATTTTGATTGTTAGCATAACAATCAACTTTTTAGTCATTGTATGTGACTTGAGGAAATATTTTTTTGTGTCTTCAAATGTTGAGTCAATAGTACGGGGATTAAGACATGGGTAAACAAATAAATAAATAAATAAAATATAATGTAATTTCTAATAATAACTGTTTGCGCAGTTAATATCAGCAGCTCATCACCTAGTTGCCAGCTTAAAAAACACTCTTCATTTCAACAAAAATTTGTTTGACGGTGTCAAAACTCTAAATGTTTCAGTTTTATTTGAACTCCTATTTATTTTAAAATCAAAACTTTTTAAATTTGCATGGATACATACATTTTCGCAATACATTAATATTACAGTTTCTTGATGAAATTGAGACACAAGATTTAACTATAAAATTATTTATGATTTAATCATAATGTTTAAAACTTCCAACATTCAGTTTTTAAGTACTCGTTACTATACTCGTAAAATAATATTTATACCGACAAAAAATTAAAATTATAGCATATTACGAACTGTTTTGCGTCTTATACTTAATGCTAGGCTATTACGTTTGTTTATGTCTTAATGCACACTTTATCATCTGACAGATCAAGCTTAAATCTGTTTGCCCAAAAAAATGTAGAGACTTATATTGATCAATGTTGTTCAGTGTTTGCACGTACTTACGTGAATTTTTGTTAGTAAAGCTTCTTTATTGTAAGTTAGTTATTGGCTAATGGTAATGCCTACGTTATATGCTTATGATGTTTCGAAAAATAAAAAAAAACGATGTTGTGCAATACAGTAACTATTACATACAAAAAGAAAAATCTGGAGAATCCCAGGGAAATTGAAAAATTCAGTGGAATTCTGGGAATCTTCGATTACCCTACAATTTATGGAGCACATCGGGGTACTGCCTATGGCCCCGAAATTATTTAATTTTGATAATCCCACGTATGCCTAGCAATTGACAAAATTATTTATAAAAAGTGAGATTAATTTTTAAAATGACACGTGTAATTTTTTTTTATCTTTCTGATGTGTACGTGATGATATTTTTTGAGTACCGCAGTAATATGAAATCACCAAAAAAATTTGAAAGCTATTGATTGAATGCAGGTGCGTGTTTTGAAATGAATTGACAATGAGACACGATCAGTTGAATATCTTGCGTATATATCGTGCCAAATCTCAATTATTTCCAGTTACTTTTTCACGGCAGTATTAAGATTTATGATACCTTATTGTATTCTCAATATTAAAAAAAAACCGCTTTTTGGCATCAATCGTACTTTATATACTATCCCAAGTACGACATGCGTCACAGCGCACTAATTCATTGTCATGTTGCTATAAAAGTGACGTAAAACTCGTTGCTTCATACATATATTTTTTTATATTATAGTGTTTGGACCCCGTAAGAGGTATTAACATCATACATATATTTAGTGTACGCAGGTTGTCACTTCCTGTCTTTTCATAAACGCAATTACGGCTCTCACTCTATTCCATGTGTGTGCACGTGTGTTTGTATGCACAGCTTCAGTGTTGTAGAACAAGCCTATGGGTCTTTTTGATACACAAAAGAAAAAAATATGTAGTCGTACTTCACACATATAAATAACGTAACTCGATCTTTCGTTGGTACAACATGTGCCGCAATATCGTTTTTTTTGTAGTCACAGGACGATTTGCTCCTACGTGTCCGTGTCCGATCGAGGTCCACGAATACACTTTTTTTCTTATATACATATATTCTTTTTGAAGCATCTGATGACCATAATTGTAGGTATTTTTGATAATTCTTTGACAATCAATTTTTAATAGAATATGTTTATTAACGGATTAAAAAATGGAGTTTTCGGCTCAAAAAAATTTGTCCAAAACATTTTTCAGTCCGTTTTGGACAAAAAACTAAGTCAGATTAAAAAATGCGTGTGTTAAGAGTTTAGATGTCACTCTATTCATTTCAATTGAACAGATGATAATAATAATCGTTAAATGAAAAAAATTCGGGTCTGATTGTGTATTGCAGTTCGCGACGGTGATACAGTGAAGCACTACAGGATCCGGCAGCTAGACGAGGGTGGCTTTTTCATCGCGAGGCGAACGACCTTCAGAAACTTGCAAGATCTCGTCGAGCACTACAGCAAAGACGCCGACGGCCTCTGCGTCAATTTGTGCAAGCCATGCGTACAGGTAAGCTCATCGCCAATTGCATCCTCCATCACCTTGTCCTTTGATAAATTATGACATGTACCATCGGGATTTGACATTTAGATTCGGCTTGCCATTTTTTAATATATATACACAAATATATATCGGTGATGACAAAAAGTAGGCTGTCTCTGCTTCTTTGTTTCAGTATATTTGTTGGCGCCAAGTCAAATGTCCAATCCCCATACCTACTTTTATTTTTCATATTTTACTTTTGTGATCTGACATCGTCAGAATGGAGTTTAGACAGCTTGTTGCATGCAAAACTGAGTGCAAATACTATTATACTGTTTTTATTACTATTATTACTAATAATGATTTTATGAATATTATTAACGTATCCGCATACTTGCCATGCCTCGCTGGCACGAACGAATAAGGTTTGCTGCTTCGTTTTGTTATTGATTGATGAATTTCTAAGGGATCTTGTTGTTGTTTTATTTAAAGAAAATCACCTTACAACTCAATACATCATTTGCATTAATTGATTTTTCCATATATTTCGAAAAAAAGATGTAAAATTAAAAAAAAAAAAACTGTTCTTAAGGATCCCTTAACTCATCGTGATAACAATAATAACGTGTGACACAAATATACATGACAGTCAAGTACAAACGCATGACGTCTTACATTTACGTTTGTGATAGTGCGTGTGATAAAAGTCAGATATTTTAAGCTTTATTTAGATTGATTATAGTAGTAATAATTTGCATTTCAAACAAATTTGTATGTATTTATTACCTAGAAAGCACTATCTAAGCTCCAATGAGACTCTGATCCAAACAATAACTAATCCGTTGTTATGCGTATCATTTTTTTATGTTTGACAGCCAAACAAGGTAAAGAAAAGTGTTATAGTAATTTCTGAAATTTTATTGGCCCTGATGAAAATACAAATCATGTGATATGTTTAATCGAAACTTGACTAATTTTTACCAACAAGATAGGTCAGATCTTCTAAGACTTATTTTAACGGAGTTGTTTGTTTCTCTGTTTTTGCTTACCCCATTTCCTGCTGGATTTTCTTGGTAAATTAAATGTCCCATTATAATAAATAATGTTTACTTCCATCGCAATCAATGCGCTCTTGCACCACCATTGTCATACATATCCCTGCCTGCATCTGTATAGCATAAGCCTGTTTTATATGGAATTATGTTTCAGAGATATTAGCTATCTATATCCTTGGTTATATATGCGATTCATAGACATGTCATGCGCTGCATTATCATTTTATTATGCAAAAGTGTTTGTCATTGTTAGCATCTCCAAAACTTATTCTTGAAGAAGGAGTGAGTAGAGTACAAATTTCAAATACAAAGTAGCAATCGATTCAGTTTATTTAACAACAACAACGGTATAATTCTAACATAAACACGGTTGTAAACTGATATTCATTCCTCATTGATAAATTAAAGTTTATGTAACCCCAGGTGCACTCTGAGTGTAATCTCTGAGCCAAGCCAACCTAGCTGAAGGTGGTTCCATCTTTCGCCGTAAAAATAATTTGTTTGAATCATTTGTTAGTATGATCAAATAAGAGTAAACGTGCCAATGTACTGAGAGGAATTATTCCATGCCGTTCCAAAGATTTTATACGGGAATTTTTTTTGTACCATATACTTGATATTTTCAGAACAAGTTTTTTACTGTGATTGCGCGATAGTATAATTATGAGAACTCAAGACTTTAAAAAGTACGGAATACTCAAACTGACACATAACTCTTTTTATATACTCGATTATTGGGACTTACTTGTACAACTGGGTCGTTTTACAAAAAGTGCGATATTTTGAGGTGCAAAATGAGACTTTTTAAATTCAATGTTGAGAATTTTATAAATTATTTGTTACTAACTAGCTGGAAACTTTTGGGCCTGGCTCTATGGTCATTTTTCTAAACATAGAATTTAAAAAAAAACTTGTCCGTCGTTACCTAAATGATACTTTTTAGGCTATTCTGAAGCCTCAAATAGGAGTTTTGCCAAGAAATTTACTACTTTAGAATTTATGGCTACAAAAAGTTGACAGTGTTCTTGTACACTCTGAAATACAAAACGGTTAATTCTAAGTGTCTGAAAATCAATCAATTGGCCCAAATTAAATCATTTGTGGTGTGCAATTCAAAAGTGTCCAAAGTAGGCTTCACAAATAAAACATCCCGTACTTGAAAATAAAAAAATTTTTTTGGATCTAAACTACGAGATAAGGTGCTGAACACCTAAGACTTTCAGATAGTACAGAGTTGCTTAAAATTTTATTTTTGATTGCTTTGCATTACGGTAATGGCATTTTGGCCTGTTTTTTGCATATTACAAGTAGGACCACGCAAAAAATTATTTCTATTTATCCAATCTAAAAATGTATCTAGAAAAAAACGGTTTTATCGAGTATCACAGTTTTTGTAAAATGGCCCAACTATTATAAAAGACACAAAACATAGATACTTACTGTGTGTTGATAGATTTAATTTACAATTGCAAGGGAATCGGAATTACAGGTGTAATTCGACATTTGTAACATGTAACAGTTCAAACATTTGATATAATTCCACGGAAACGAAAGTGTACAATTTTCATTGTAAATAATGGTGCTACTCGCGTGATATTGAGCTCTAAGATTAATGTTTTTTTTCGAACTCACGTACGATGATAATAATAGTACTAATAAAAATAAAGGGTATCCAATAACAGAAGAAAAGGTTGTATTATTGTACAAGGACTTTACTAACAGCGCAACGTGTAAAAAATGGCTACGTAATAATAAAGACATCGTACGATTGCGAGCTTGGTTGCTTTGAATCACGTCAATAGATCCTATCGCCGACAGTTTTGTCGACACTGATAAATGTGTTTCCCTGTCAGTTTTTCACACTTCTTGTCCATCAGCACAAAAATTTTATTTTAAACATGTTACTGCAGTACCACAGAATGCATACCCAAACAGTAGTGAATTTGGAGATGTCCAATCTTAACAAAGGGCTCCGCCTTTTAATATACAATTTTGTCGTTTTCGAACTAGTCGAAGTAGTTAGAAAAGCAATTTTTATCCTTTTCAAGGTGCATAATCTCGAGAAAGTATCAGTTTTGGTAATTTTGTTTTAAAAATAGTTAAAATCACTGATTCACTTGAATCTATATTTTAAATAAAATAGTAAAACGTAGTTCTTACGATTGGTTCCTACAATTATTTTACTGCTTTACAATTATCTTACTCTGTGGTGTACTAACAAGTAGAAGGTAGATATGTATGGGTACGGCAGAAAACGAAGTACGATAAAACTTAGCTTGATGACTTTTGACACCGCAAAATACAATAAACTATAGCACCTTTGCAATAACTCCAGGACAACCAAAGAACTTGATCATCATTGAGTACGGCTAAGCTAGAAACATCGAAAATATACTTCCGCGCAAATCAAAAGTCAGATCCAATGAATGGTTATAGAATTGCTACTAGTTTTCTACATATCCCGTTGTTCGGTATACTAAAAATAAATCATTATTCCAAAGATTTTTGCGATTCCCAGTTCTATTTTCAACATCAAAAAATTCCATAGTAAAGTCAAAAAAGGCCCACAACAAGAAAGAGAAAAAAAAGCTTAATCGTGCATCGTCATTGTCACTTCAATTTTCCAAGCCTGGAGCACCTCTCACGTAGTACCCACATTAGCCGCTCCACATTCATTTTGACAATCATCCCTCGTCAAAAAGGAATCGAGATTCCGAAAAAGCACCACCCATCACCCACGATCACGCAAACTTTCACAACTTACGAGTCGAGTCATCGTGCACTCACGAGCGAAAATAATATATAACGATACGCCTATAGGCTCGAAGTATAGGTACATGTGCGTACCTGTACATGCCAATTGGGCGAAGCAGACAAAGTGACGGACGCAGCTGGGATGGTTTGTATTTACTGACTGGGTCCTTGGGGGGTGCTGCTTTGGTGTCCACAGGTGGAGAAACCCGTGACCGAGGGCCTGAGCCACCGCACGCGCGACCAGTGGGAGATCGATCGGTCGTCCCTAAAATTCGTCCGCAAACTCGGCCAGGGCCAGTTCGGCGAGGTCTGGGAGGGCCAGTGGAACAACACGACCCCCGTGGCCATAAAGACCCTCAAGCCGGGCACCATGGACCCCAAGGACTTCCTCGCCGAGGCCCAGATCATGAAGAAGCTGCGCCACCAGAAACTCATCCAGCTTTACGCCGTTTGCACCATGGAGGAGCCCATCTACATCATCACCGAGCTCATGCGAAACGGCAGTCTCCTCGAGTTCTTGCAAGGTACTTGTCTATCGGTGCACACATATTTACGCACCTTCTGTAAACATGGATGATCCACTCGATCCTCCGTCAACTTCCATCCTTCTATTCCTACTGAAATCCTGCTCCGTTCGTGCGTCACATGGATAATAGAGCGGCGGACCTTTTAGTCCAGCGGTAGCGATGGGTCCAAGTCTCGATCGCGAGTCTGAAATTTTGAGCGTTCGCCCAGAGCATTCAACGACTAAAAACTTATGTTATATCATTAAAATAACTGCAAAAGAACTAACAAACGTTAAAAAATCATTGAAACAATTATTCTCTTACTTTTGAACTGGAAATACTAGACTAACGTCATTTTATCGTTAAATTTTTTTTTTTCTTTCTTTTAAATGCTCCGGGTAAGCGCACCAAACTTCAGACTCGTTCTCGATCTCTGTAGCGCATCACACATCATGGGTACGAACTATACAGATAAGAGGACATTGAGTTCAACTTTGAAAAAAAAGGAAAAAAAAAAAAAAAAAAAAAAAAAATCATTAGTTAAGGGAAATCAACAACTCGGTCTGGCCGATCTATTTTTCTGTTTGTTAGGCACCCTTTTTTTCTCATCTAGAAAAAAATATGATTAACTGAGCTCAAAATGTAGTGACAATATCCATTTAGAAGTCAATCAAAAGCTCTCGAAATACGCTTTCGTTTCAGCTATTGCGAGGTTTGAGGAAGTTGAAGTTTCTAGTCTGCCGTAACTTTCAGCTGAAACGAAAGTTAAACGCTACCCCCTATTTTCGCACTCATTTTTCAAGGTCGGAGTAAATAAATCATGTCAAAAGATAAAGAACAAGACAAAATTGACGATGTGAATCGTGAAGTAATTTTTAGTAGCACTGAGTAATTGCTTTTGGCTTTCAATATCTCAGAGATTTCAATGGACAAAACTTGAATAATTCCAATTTCAAAAGCTTAGTGAGTTTCACTTGGAAATCACTGATAGGAATGGCCATACCTTTGGGTACGAAAACACCAAAGAGGAAGATGTAGCCAATCAAATTCCTTAGAATGTGTGTTAGTGTGTGTGATGTCTACTGACACCGTCCATACCTGTAATCAACTTAGATTAGTATACTTCTGTAGTTTCGATTTTCCTTTGTGAAATCTTTGGTTGTTCTAACGTGATTTACACAAATTACTATTTTGAACGTGATACACCATCAAAATCATGGAATATCACACAATAATTTTTTTTCATCAATCAGTTTCTACATAAGATTTCAATAAGATTTTACATTTGACAATCAATTTTATTCGTGCATACGAAGTTACTCGGAAGAATCTATAAGGATTTTGCCTAAACCACGTATGCACACAAGTTCGTGTTAAAATCACGCCAAGTTTGTCAAGATTCTGTAAAGATTTATTTAGTAAAATTCGGACTAAAGTGGTATCCAAGTGGATTTTATCTACTGGACCCTTGCATACCACACACGTACGCCATATGCGCTCATTCCTTACAACCTTTGCAACTGATTAGTCCAAATAAAGTATCAGTGAAAATGGTCTTGTTGAATCCCCGATGATGCTTGTAAAATTCCCGCAGGAAAGGGCCGAGGTCTGAAACTCCAGCAGCTGATCGACATGTCAGCTCAGATAGCGGCGGGTATGGCCTACCTCGAGTCGCAGAACTACATCCACCGGGACTTGGCCGCGCGCAACGTCCTCGTGGCTGACGGCAACGTCGTCAAGATCGCCGACTTTGGGCTGGCCCGTCTCATCAAGGAGGACGAGTACGAGGCCCGCATCGGCGCCCGTTTCCCCATCAAGTGGACCGCCCCCGAGGCTGCCAACTACAGCAAGTTCAGCATCAAGTCCGACGTCTGGTCGTTCGGTATCCTCCTCACGGAGCTCGTCACCTACGGACGAATACCCTACCCCGGTAAGTCGCCGCTTCCTCCAACGTAGAGAGCTGTAGCGAGTTCAGAACCTTTTTTTTTTTTTTTTTTTCAATTTTCCTTCACACGGAGTACAAATTACACGCGATGATTTTAGGTATGACCAACGCCGAGGTGCTGCACCAGGTCGAGCACGGCTACCGCATGCCCTGCCCACCGGGATGTCCACCGCCGCTCTACGACATAATGCTCGAGTGCTGGAACAAGGACCCGATGAAGAGGCCGACCTTCGAGACCCTCCAGTGGAAGCTCGAGGACTTCTTCACCATGGAGGGCAGCGAGTACAAGGAGGCTTCGGCTTACTGAGTAATCGCCTCTGCGAAGTTTCGCAACATAGACCAGCGCATCATGTAGTAAATGCTGGAACCTCGGACTCGACAATAACGCGTTCGGGGGGACACCGCGACGACCATGCGGGATGTGAAATACGTCGCGGTTCGGAACGAGCGGAGGGAGATAACAAAAAGAGATATTGTAGAAATGAAGCTGTGCACGCCGCGGGACTAGTTGACAAACTCCTACTTTCCAAAGGACTCTGCGTGTGTTTTTTCGTCCGTTTGTTTACTATTTGTGCACACAAACATTTATTCGTTGTACATACATGCATTGTACAAGTGTGCGGATTTTGAAGTGGAGAAGCGTAGGCGCCAACGTAAGGGGCGTCCTATCATTATTATTATTATTATTATCATTATCATTATTATTATTATTATTATTATTGTTGTTACTATTATTCTCTTGTCGTGGACGGTTAAAAAAACAGTTTGTGATATTTCATGGAAAGACCATTGACTCTTAATCGTGTAGATTAAATTTAAAGGTGATCACTGTCAAAGTGTACGCTTGGTACTGTTTATTTTAATATACTTTTTTTTTTACTTTTATCGACGTATCATTTAGCACTAATACAGTTACTCATTATTTTTATCTCTTTTAATTTTTTAATACTATTATTATTATTATTATTATTTTATTACTGTTTACATATATTGTCGCTGTGGTGGAAAACGACATTAATTTAGAATTCGTTTTTGGATGGTAATAACTTGGAGCCAAGTTCGAGAAAATTGTAACTTACAGTCGGACCCAAAAAAAGTGATCATTTAGGAGTAGATGTTACTCAAATTATGGTAAACATAGTAGATAATCTTTATTATAAGGAAAAACGGTAAAAAATTTTTGAATAACTAAGAGCATTTACTTATATTATAAATTGAACTGGACGACGGGTCTTTTTGTCCGGACTTCGAGATATGGGTTCTGAGTTATTTAATACCTTCTTAAACCGAATTTTGTGTTAATGCCTTTTTGGCTTCACACGATGATAATATTATTGTATTATTACTATTGTATTTTCGTTTGTTTCTTAATATTCTGGCTGCCATATACAAGATTATCGAAAATTAGAAAAAAAGTCGAGTACCTCGCGTGATATATGTACTTTACATATACATTGGCGCTTGGTAACTTTTGAATCGTAATAAGGTCTATGTCTCATAGTATGCAATATTAACGCAACTCTTAATAGCTGGGGTTCTGAAAAACAGCCCGCTCTCTTTTTTTATTGTATGGAGAGTTTGTGTGTATTTTTGAGAACTGAGTTGCGTGAGTAATATCTGCGGCAATAAATGTGTCAAATTTTTCTGATTAAATTGGATTTTATTTTTATTTTTATGTAGGTTCTAGAATAATTCTTAAGATGTAAAGTTGAGCGTAATTTATTTTTTATATCAATTAAAACGATAAGTAAAGTGCGTATTAATTTTACATTTGGAAAAGATGATAGTCCAATAATTTTATTGTACTTTTTATGGATTGCAATTATGATAAAACAACAAAACTTTATTTTGACATTTTTTGCCGAAATGACATCGATTCGTTTCATCTGTACGAAATTTTTTATCTAATTTATAAATAAGATAAGAATATTAAAATACTTGTATGATATAAACTGACATAATTTTTTAAGATTAACTATAAAACAAAAATTTATCAAGAACTTTTTGACATATGATTTTGCCACAATCTAGCTCATGATATTCCAATAAAGCTATTCAATGAAGTTTGGTGAAACTGTTGTTTGCATATTCATTGTAGAGATTGTACATTTGTTGAAAAATGGTAAAAGAGCTCAGTAGTAGCACGAAAACAAGTTATGCAGTTGCAAAGTATGCACACGGCATAATTAATAAATCAGTGTAATTTTTCGCCTAGCAAGCGCATTTGTAATTGTATTAAGTGTTATAAATAAAAGGAGAATATCGTGTTGATATTCCTGCCAACGTATTTTAAACTTAAACGCTGTATTGTTTGCTGGGCTAGTAGGTATGACCTTTGAGATCGTATTTATTGAACAGTCATGGCCTACATGAATTTATAAGTACATGTACATGCATACACTTTGTAGACGAAAGAGAGAAGGAGGAAAAGAGAAGGTTTTATTAGGTGACGTGAATCAATTTGTGCTTTCTCTTCTTGAACCTCTTTTTTTCTCTAATTGACTGCTTTGTAAATTTCCAAAACGCGACCATATACGTTTTTCATTGATTATATAAATATACATACGCATATATACATAATAATAAAGTAATTTTTGTAAACAAACTTTGACTAATTTCTTTCACATCCATACAAGCCAATTAAATTACTGTTGTATCTCTGAGTATTTCAGATTTTTTTTATTAATAATAAATGTTCAATAATAATATTGTAATTCTTAATACATTAAGAAAACTAAGAGTAAAATTATGTTGCTGATACATTGGCAAAATACTTTACGTGATACAGGAGCAAGTAAAATGATATTACCTTTATCCAAGAACCGAGAAAGTAAAAAAACTAAGGATTAATAGAAACATTTATTTTTACTCATTTACGTGTAATTCTATACAGTTATAACTGTAATTAGTATTACAAAATTTTCAAACAAAACTTTATCCAATAATTTATCAAATATAACAGTACAAGTATTCACAGAATTATACGCATAAAACTGTTACAGGTATACAATTACAACTTATTTTACAAAATTATTTCCTACGTATGTACCATTGAGTTGCAAAAAAAGGACTATACATCATGCTTGTATATTAGTACCATTGCATTTAGATTAGAAGCTCATAACTCCATAATACTGGTAAAATTGTATGTACGGCTTCAAATAATGAATTAATTTAAAAATCAGTAATAAAACATACATTACATGGTTCACATAGTATTTAAAGTCCTTGCATCACAAAAAAATACAAAATTTTATAAAAAAACTTTCCAACGGCTTTCAAAGACAATATGTTCATAAAAAGTAATAAACATCCTTGAAAACGGAAAAATATTTTGCAATCAATCCCATATGAATTTCGAATACTACGCAATCGTAAATAGTATAAAATATCACTCTACGGCTAAAATATTAAAAAATGGTGATGCTTAGATCAAAATTATAGTTCCACTCTTTAAAATATTGAATAGAGTTATTTTACTTTCCAGAGACGAGAATTCTCTTTTCACATGATACAGATTGAATCGATGAATTCACTCTTTACAATAGAGCAACTTGTTTCTACTATCTAAAGTAGAAAACTAAAATTCTCTTTTTAGAAGGAGTAAATCGAATAAATCACACTTTACAAAATAATAAAAATTTAAATACTAATTCTACAAAAGTAGAAAAAAAGCAAATGTTGTTCGAAAATTTGTTCTTTACATAAAAGTAAAATTTTAACTTGATCCGTACACGATAACAATAGTATGAAAAATCGATTGTTGGTCATACTTGACGATTTAACTATGGATACATCTTAAATCATATCAAATGAGTTTACAAAATTTAGAATTTACGCAGGATAAAAAAAGTTAACAATTTTTTTAACTGAGGACTTTGAAGTGGGTCCCCATTAGAATAAGAATAACTACATCCTGTTGATGTCGAAAGTAATAAAAAAGAAAAAAAAAGTACATGTTCCAATTAATTAAAAAAATTTAGATTAGATACTGCCCCAGTAAGTCCTTAACACGTGAAAAAAAATGAAAAATAAAAATTACGCAGTTTAAACTTTTCCGAAAAGCAGTACCATATCTAACCATCGCTTTTTTAAATTTTTTAGCTTTGGAGTAAAATTTACGATAGCACAACATGAAGGAACTGATAAAGTACTTAATAACAAAAATGTATTTTCAAAACAAAGTTTACGATCAAATTGAATATTGTATTGATGGGCGATACCTGAGTCCGATCGAAACATCAAGGAGATTACAAGAACACCCAATCTGCTATAAAAGCCATTTGGCAATTAATTTACCAATTAAGTAATCTTATGATTAATAAAAAACAATTTTTGACATAGGTAATATTATGGAACTCATGAGAAACTGTAAAACACAATTTACAGATTAGTTCGAGTTTTATAAAAGAGATGATTTGACTTTAATATTCCTGAACATTACCTTTTAAACAAATGAATTGAGCGTTGGGAGAAGAAGGCAACATTTTAGAAAAAAATGCTGCTTTAGGAAGTTAAAATGCTATATTATCTAATGAACAAAAGATATTTTTCTCCAAGTTAATGATGAATAAGAAAAAGAGATTGCAATTGAATCTTTAATTTTTAGATTAAAAAAAAATGTAATATTTAGTGCAATAAATCTTCAATTCGTTGCATTTCCAGCTTTAATATGAATTTCTATTGGAGATGAATGACCTACCTCAAAAATTTTTTTATTATGCTTTGGACGTTCCTTGCATCCTTGGTAGAAAAAGGAAAACTCCCCATTGGTTCACATCTGTCCACGAAAATATACGCAAGAGAAACAAAATCTACAATTTTCTCTCTCGACCATCACAGTTGTTTTAACCGTTGTTACAATCACTATTATACTTATGGTTTTATTACTCAATATGTAAATTAGCAAACTGCCAAAAAAAATTTTTGTTTACATTTTTTCGCTTATTCTTTTATCTTTGGGAATAAATATATTTCTTATTACTCATGTAATATTTATACCGTGACTAATCATTTTAATGTTTTTAAGACTGCCTTTTAATTTAAATGTCATTATGTGACGAAACAAAAATTTATTTGAAAAATTTTTTTGTGAAAAAAAAAGGTATGCGCGTAATTTGCCAGAAACACATTATAAACTTAAATATTTACAACTGCGCATTTTGGACAGTCTAATTTAAAAATAATTCAAATTTAGGACGATTTCTTTTAAGAATACAAACAAATAAAAATTATGATTCTAGATCATTTCTATACTGTGAACGTATTTTATTGAAGTGGTGACTGTAATTTGAATTAATGCAATAAAAATTTGAATAAAAAAAAAAAAAAAAACCTCTAAATGTGTAGTTGGTGTAAAATTCAGGTGAATCAAGGGAAGATAGGGGGCAAAGCCCCTCTAGTGTATATTGTATATACATACGAGTAATTAGAAATTATTTATCGTATGGTTATACTCGTTCATTATTCTCGTTCCACGTTAACTAGTCCTAATTAAGGTATACTGTTTAATAATGTACAATTATTACAAAATAAAAATTCAGAATTGTTTTTTCAAAGTTTGTTTAATTGAGCGAGTTCGTTGTACACATCAAACTTTTGTCTTATTACATAAGTCATCTTCGCTAATAAATCCAGTTTCCTTTCGTCTTTTATGAATTCTTTCCTGTAATTCATTGTCATCTTTAACAGTTCTTGTATCAACTTTATATCGCCTTTAATATGTTTAATGATTAAATCCTTCTTGGTACTCTGCCTTTTATAGCTACCTACAGGTAAAAAAAAAATGCAATATTTTTAATCGTTCTTGAATGAACTATATCGTTTTAGTGGTAAATAAATATGTAAATAAACTATTTTGTGATATTTGATCCATCAGTTATTAAAACTTTCAAGTACATATTTCTCTATTTACTCTCGTAAGATAAATGATTAGATGGACTTGTGATAAAGTACCTTGCAACGCTTGACTTTATCTGTAACGTGTCGTATACATTAAAATAATAAGAATTAAAAACTCTGCTTTTCATAGTTTCAAAGCTCTTTAAATTCGGTAAAATAAACAACCTTCATCATACTAAAGAAAACTATGTTTTTAAAAGAAAAAAAATTTTTTTTTTTTTTTTTTAATTTAGTAAAGTATGTGCTAAAACATTACCAACTTTAAATAAATTAAAACTATTTATTTATCTACCCAGGTGAGAAATGGGTTATATTCTTAGTTATTGAACTTCTACTAAAAAAAATCATCAAAATAATTACAGCTAAAACTTTTTCATCACTAGTATAAAATATCTTAAAGCATACTAAGGTACTTTTAACGTATTAAAGAAAAGTAAATTTCGTAAAAAATTAATGGTGTGCCCATTGTCTGAGCGAGAAAGGTGGATGTAACTATTTTTAAGGCTTATATGAAGTAAACGAGGATATGAACGTTGAATGTCCTATACTTATTTCCATTGCAGCAATTTTTGAGAAATATTTCTTATCAGAATATTTTTAAAATGTTCCCGAAAATTGCAACATATCGTGTGTAAATTTTATAAAAGATTAGTTATAGTATTTAACAAATATTAAAATAGATTTTTCAAAAAAATTCGAATTTCCAATGTACCTGTAGACAGCAGGATGTTGGAAAGGGCACGAAATAAAACAGAAATCACACATTGTGAATTTTTATTTATAAAGTCATGTATTAAATGTAAGAAACTCCAAATATTTATACATATATGTAAGTAAGACTGCACCTTAGAGAATATATAGATGGAGGAAGCATTGTCCCGATCAGAAATTTAATGGGTTTGCCACCTTAGTAAATGGGGTCCCCCTTAGGTTGCCTAGTTGGTACCCCATTAGGCGCGTCACGGGGCGAACTGAGGGTCCATCGTAGGCTGCCCCAATAACCTAGCAAAAACTGTTGAAAACATTATATATTTCTGCGTTTGGGTTAAATATATGTGACCGTAATTTAATTCTTCCTTATCTGCACGGCCGATAAACTCCATAATCTGCATAGCCTGCATGGTAAATCGGGTACATGCTCTTATGATAATTGTATTGAATGTAATGATGTACCTAGACAAAAAATACAAAGGGTTAGGTAAACTTTATTTCCTATTGGGGCACACTGGAGAGGACCACATCTACGCCCCGTGACGATGCCATTCTAGGACCACATGTGGTTAGTTTGGCAGCCTAGAGTGGACCCCATCAGCACCCCACTAAGGTTTCTGATCGGAGTATGCTCCGACCGCGAGACGAGATGAGAGAGATAAAAGACAAATAGCAGTACAACCTTTCTCTCTCTTACACGCCTCTGATTGGTTGGCCCCCTCCCGTATATATAGGTATAGTCGTGTCCACGAGTGGCGGTCGTGCAAACACAGCAGATATATGTAACCTAAGCTCTGATGAAAAAGAACTTATGGTTAAACACTTCATGTATGGCTAATGACTCAGTTCGAATGTTTGTCTTCGATAGCTGAGCGGTTAAGAATGCTCGATTAGCTTTTGCGCTCTGAGCTTGGAATCTGACCTGTGCTTTTTTTTTTTTTTTTTTT